CTGCGTGAATCGGAGTAGGAATTCTCTTTGAGTAAGAGTTAACCATTTATAATGAACATTGTACGAGTACTCAAGAATATAGACAAGTTTGTAATCATTCTTAAATTTGTTTCAAGTTTCTTTTTGTACATCCTGAATTCTTTCCAACTTAGTATGTGACCTGCCAATCCGACTACTTTTTTACATAAGTGGCCAAGGGGGACTGACATTCCCCTCGCCTATTTCCTTCCCTAAAAAGCACCCTGACAGTGAGTCGACAGACTCGGTCACCCGTCGGGCCCCTGGCACGGTTCTCCCTCGTAACACAGTACATCTTACATTTCATATATTTTATAATTCTATTCGCAATATGCATAGCATAATAGGTATGATGCATTAAACCAAAAGATCACGTTTATTTAAACTTATTATGTATGTATGTATGTAAGTTTATTGCTTCCCTATGGGATTACAATTTCCGCCTCTACAACATTCACTTAAACCTATCCGCTCCTTATCTTACTCTTAATCTACCTTATCGCTATTTCGCTATTTATAGTTCGTACGTCTCTTTACGCTCTCTTTATGCTCTTTCCTCTGTATTTCTGTTCTCGCTCTCTCCGCCGCCTTCCTCCGCACCATCTCCCTCTCTCCCCTAATCCTCTACGCTCTCCCTCTCGCTTCTCCTGGACCTCCGCTTCCGTTCCTTTCGCTCCATTCTTCCTTTCATTCCTTCTCTCCCTTCCCTTGACACCTTCCTCTCTATCCCCCCTCACCCTCTCGAGCTCCTTCATCCAACTCTCCCCCTTCCCCCAAAACCTCCCTTATCCTCTCCCCACTGGCCCCCTCTATCCTCTCTCCTCCCTCACATCTCTTTAAGACGTGTCCCCACGTCTCCTCCTCCTCTCCGCAGACCCTGCACGTTCTGCCTCCTCCCGTCTCCCAATATCTTCTCTCATTCATTTCATTCCTTAACCTAAACCTCGCTTCCCTCCTCCATCTCTCCTTTCTCCACCCCGCCTCCAGATATCTCGGTATCCCTTCTGTCCTCACTTTCTTATACCACCTGTTGTACCTTGATTCATTTATTCTTCCCGCCCTTTCTCTCTTTTGCTCTTCCCTGTTCTCCCTTTCCATCCTCTCGAATTCCTCTCCGCTTTCCACTTCCTCCTCCCTCCCCCTTACTCCCCCGCTGTTCCTTCGCCCTTTCCTTTCCTTGTCCCATTTCGACATCTCCTCCCTCTCTCTCCTCTCCCTCTTTGTCACCTCTTCCCAGCACCATCGCGCCACTTCTCCTCCTTCCTCTCTCCATAATTTCTCCTCGAACCTCCACGCTCTTTTCCACGCCCTTGTCCTCATTTTCTCCCTCTTCGTCTCCTCCCTTACCATATATCCCGATGTTCTCCATTCGACTCCCAGAGACCATCTGATGAACCTCTCGTGTACCCCCTCTGTCTGCTTCCTCTCTCTCCATCCCTATATTTCCGCTCCGTACCCCATCACCGTCCATACTAGAGTGTCGAAAAGCCACAACTACCTGCACTATTTATTCCTCCCGAACTTCCTTCTTCCTATCCCCCAGGCACTCCTCATTACGACTCCTGCCTTTCTCACTCACTCCTTTATATGCCCCTCCTGTCCCCCGTTGGCCCTAAACAGGTACCCCAAATACTTAAACTCCTTCACTTCTCCATCTTTTTTCCCTTCCACCTCCAAACCACTTCCTTCGATCTCCCTCCTCCTTTCCTGAATCTCATTACCTTGGTCTTCCCCACATTCACCACCAACTTCTTCCTTTCAAAATACCTTTCTAATCTCCTAATCATACTCGCCTATTTAAACTTATTATACACATAATATATGTAATTATAAAAAGTATTATGTAAGATTATTTTTTCATACTGATTTCATTATTTTTATAAAGTACATTCAGTTATCTTGTTAAATTCATTGAAATGTTTATTGTTATTAAAAAAACGTATCAACTGCCTGCACATAGTATATACACATGTATTCGCTGATTGTGAGTCATTTGCACCCCTTTACGCGAAAATGAAGGAGCAGAAGCAAAAGCACTTGCTGATCATTGAAAAATCTACGAGTCACGAGCATTTCAAAGGCAAGTTTACAGTTTGGATATTGCCGTTGACCTGATACATGTATGCAGAAAGACTACGCGTGTAGTAATACGCGGTTCAAACTTAGCACGTGGCAAGCTTCTCTTTAAAGCTAAGAAATAGTAGCATTCTACGGTTTTAAAATTGTACGTGTAAAGTAATGAAAGAATGAAACTTATATTATCGACATACAAGTGTTCATTCATTATTCGTCTTTCCCAATGCTGGATCCTTTGGATATACTTCTGTAAAGATGGAAAATGTGTTTATAATTGTATGTATAAAAAAATGAAAGAATAAAACTTGTATTAACGATATACCTTTATGTTATACGTTCTCTATACCTTCTTTCTGCATTTCTTTTGGAAATTGTTCAGTATGTAAATTTATGGAACTGAGCCCTTTAATTTAGTGATCATCCTTCGGTTTGTTCTTCTTTATGTTCTCTTTCATTTATTTTGTTTCATGTACCTAAAAATATAATTCAACACGTCACATTACACTCCTGACAATTACCGTTTTGAAAAATTATTGTTTCATCACGATTACTTTATGTTCAACATGAATCAGACAAATGAGAAAATTCAGACTTACCTGCTATTTCAATGAGAGCAGCATTTGTGGGCTCAAACAGAACTATTTTCCCCATCCGCTTTTGAATACCCTACCCCTCGACTACGCAACCGTCCTTGAGGGCCATGGTTGAACGGCGAGGAAACGAGCGGAAGAAATTTCGCAAATCTTGCATTCTGGAACCTGAGTTTCACTTTTCCTCACGCGCTGCGATTGAAATTTCGCAAATCTTACATCACTGCACCAACCCTCGGTGTCTGTAATTTCTTATGCCCTCTAAGATATACTGGACCGAAAGGTAAGGAAAACTAAGCGAAATTGCCGTCGTTCTAGTTCAAAAGTTTTTGGTGCAAAATGCAGATGTAAAAGTAATAAGTTTACTCGTTCCGACTATTTTAACAAACGACCAAATGCTGAGACACCTGTCGTGCTGGAAAAAAAGTATCGGTGAGTCCGAACGTCGGTACACGCCGAAAGAGTAATTCTGTGGAATTTTATGATCCTACCTTGCGGGCTTAAATCCTCTTGGACTCCTTTTTCCTACCGCATTTTAATACGGGCGTTGCCACGCTTTACTAATCTCTCCTCGGTGGTGGAACTGAACGTGTCAGATCACTGTAGAATTTAGCTTTGACAGCACCATGGAATTGGGGACGCCGAAACTTGGGCCGTGAGCACTCTCATTTCCTCTTTGCGAATAATTACATGAACGTTGGGAAAAGAGACCTAAGATTATCCCTCCTCGCACACCTGTGCATAGGCTCCAGCTTAAACCAATAAATTTCACGCATTAATTGAATTAAGGAATGATAGCATGGTATGGTAG